TGTCCTTTCTTTCCATTTCTTTATATTCACTTTACTACACAAATATTTACTGAGGATTCCAACAATAAGCCAGACACCTTGCTAGGCAGAGGAAATATAAAGGACAATGAAATGCAACTGCTTCTTCCCATGAAACTTTTATAGTAAAAACTTGTCTTTTAATTGGACGGTGTTATGCCAATATATGGAAGATGATGAGGGTGTAATGGTGCTGATACTCACAATTCAGCTCAATTTTGTAGCAATCCTTTTAGGATTCCTGAAATTAAAGGCTTACTGTGAATGACTAGGATTATTCATTGCACACTTGATACTCTCTGCTTCTCCAACCAGGCTGCAGTGGGTGGCCAGAGGGCTTGGGGATTCATCTGGTTGTGAATGTGACAGATCCTGGAAGTTGGGCTGGCCTTGAGAATCTTAATTAAAGCATCCTGGAGAACTGGTGTCTCTATATTTTTTCTGACCTCCCCTTTCTCTTTGCTTCTGTAATGTTTGCTTGTAAGCACACACAAACCACTGCAATATATTACAGCAAAACTATTATCATGTTAGACTCCCGTTTGAAACCATTTATTTTTGGTCTCTTGCCACATTTATAGTTAAATCTAAACCCTGTATCTTGGTTTCACAACTCTGTATAATGTGGTCCCTGTCATGCTTTCTTATTCTCATTTCTTATTACCTTTCTTTTCCTCAGTTTCTTGCTCTATTAGTTTATCTCCCATACCATGCCCTCTCTTATATCTGGATTTTTCACCCACAATATTACCTGTGCTTGGCACACATTTTCTCCAATGTTGAGATCTGAAGTTTTGTTTTGTTTCTTTTTTTATTTTTTCAAGATGGAGTCTTGCTCTGTCACCCAGGCTGGCGTGCAATGACACAATGTCGGCTCATTGCAACCTCCACCTCCTGGGTTTAAGTGGTTCTCCTGCCTCTGAAGTTTGAATCATTACTTCTTTGGGGTGGACTCCCTGTCACTCCACACTCCATTTTCTGAGTTAAGTAAAATTTCTGTATGCTCTCACAGCCCCCAGTTCCTTTCTTAGCATAGCTCTTAGAGTGTGCATTATAATCCAGAAATGGACTCCAAAACTTGTGTCATTAAGTTTACTACTGGCAGATTATAAACTCTCTGGAAAAGTTCCATGGAAATCTTTGAATCTCAATCATCTTGTTGGTAAAATGAAGAAATGGTCTCTAGTTTGCTATGAGAATAACATTATATTTATAAACATAAAATGTTTACCAGATAAGTAGTCACTGCATTAATAATAATCATAATTAAATATATCAATTATAAATGTTAACAGTTTATTAATATATAATTATTATTAATAGTAATATGTTAATGGCTCTATTTCCCCTAAATTTTCTATTTCTGTCTCCCACAAAAGTATGATATTTTGAGAGCAGAGAACATGTCTGTGTTTTTTATTATTCTACCTCCATCCCTAAGACAAAGAAAAGCATGGGGTTTATTGAATGAATGGATGAGATCTTATTATACCACAGCCAGCTGAATGGGTCCTAGCCTCCCAGGCAGGATTGCATGTGATTCTGATCCTGCTCTGATTAGCAGAAGCAGCCCTTGGAAGAGATGGAACTCATTCCTCTAGATCAACCTTCCCCAGGCTTTTTGTCTTACACAAAAGCAGGGACCAGTTTTGTGGAAGACAATTTTTCTGCAGACTGGAAAAGGTGAGAGGTTGGTTTCCAGATGAAACTAATTCACCTCAGCCCATCAGGCATCAGATTCTCATAAGGAGCATGCAACCTAGACCCCTTGCATGCACAGTTCACAATAGCGTTCCTGCTCCTATAAGAATCTAATGCCACCATTGATCTGACAAAGGGTTCTCGGGTGGATATGTTGACAGGGCAGTGTTGTTGCATTTAAGTGAACAAGGTATAACACACTTATGTGAAGACCAACAGAGAAAACAGTGGCTTTTAACCATGTATCCCCTCATATTTTACATGAATGTTTCACATGACAAATTCTTAGCTCATTTTATGTTTGTAAAAAATGAGAATTGATTCACATAGTCCTTATCACACAGGTAGTGACCCATAAAATGTAGCTAATCATAATAACTTTAAACAAATATATCAATGAGTTGAAAATAACACATATATTTTTGTATTTTTCTTTGAACTTTTTTATCATTCTAAAAGCATTTTGGTTTATACTAAACAGTCCAGAGCATTTTTTAAGGTGCTAATGTTAGCTAACCAACTGCCACGAGGCCCTGACCAGAATTAGTCCATGGCCTAGAAGTTGGGGACCCCTGTTCTTGATGATGCGCATTATGTGAACATTCAGTGCATTTGGGATATCTTTGGCTCCGTAGTCTCAGAGAAAGGGTTCTTAGGTGGGCTACATTGACAGGGTAGTGTTGTTACACTTAAGTGAACAGGGTCTGACACACTTACATAAAGACCAACAGAAAAAGCTGCACCTTGTAATTATGTATCCTGAATACTTCAGAAGCCCAGACCTGTAGTCTCAGGTGACTTTGCTACAGTCTTTTCTTATATTACCAAGTTGGTTACCAGAACAAGTCATGTGCAAAAGTATGTACATGCCTGTGTTTGTATGTGTGACACAAATAATAGGATGAAATAAACGAATATATATATATATATATATATATATATATATATATATGCAAACAATATTCTGTTCTGAGATTATCATTGGCCCCAGGATCCAGATTTTAGTTGGATAAGCTAAAAGTGAAATTTCTGAAAGAAAAAGAAAGTATATACTGTTTGTTAAGGTTTTTCTTTTATTTCCTCTATTTTTTTTCAAAGTGGTATACGTTAAAAGCATTTTTTGAATGGAGTCTTGATAATTGGCTTTCACTTATGTTGGAACTGGGATTATCACAATGTTTTCAGATAGTTGCATATGACTGAACATGATATGAAGTAAAAATGCACACTTAATAGTGTCTCTTCTCTGTTTTAATAATTTTCAGATAGATTAATGTCTCAGATTCTAAAATCAGTTTTGCAGGGTAGAGTCTTTATCCCCATATTCTAGGCAAAGTAACTGAAACACAAATGAATGAGTAAATTTCTCCAGTTTATGTAGTTAGAGAAGCCAGAATCTTAGCTTTGTTGTTTTGTTCTTTCAAAGACCTAAGCTTTTTTAACCTCAGTTACTTCCCTTAGTTAATTTTAAACACAAGGGATTATCAAAACATAACATTGTAATACCAAGAAATAACCAAAGGCTTGGTGAATTGAAGAAAATATGGCACAAATAAGTTTTAACATAAATAGTAATGACACCAAATACAATAGTTTAGTTGTTAATTAGCAAAATGTTGTGGACAAAAATGATACATACTGATCCCTACTGTGTCTCAAGAACTCCTTGTATGTGAATGGAAACTTCCATGAATTATATATTATTCAAATTTTTTAATAAAAATGCTAATGGAAATGTTAAAATGTACATAAATTAAAATAATCATAAATTAGGATTAATATCATATTAATGAATTATAATCCCACATTCATTAAGATAAAGTGGCATTTCGATATTTGTTCATGTTAATACATTTAATACAGTAAATGAAAGGGATACATTTTGAGATTCAATAAATATTGGATGTAATCTTATGCTTCAACTTTAAAAAATATTCAAAAGTAAAGTTGGAGATCTAGATGCATTTGGAATCTTTGTTGCTATTTTATGTCTTTTTTATAAGCCTTTCTTTTCACTTAGTAAAGGACTAAATACAATTTAAGGTGGTGAAGAAAGCAAAGAGGCTGTTCAGAATAAAAAGGATCCCAAGAGAATACAGCATCTTTTGAATTTCTAGGAGTTTCTTTCCACAAGACAGTTTTTCTTTTTTAGAACAAATATTTGAAATCTCAAATGGAACCAAATTGGCAGTTAAGTAACTGAGTTAAACTGAAAATATGTACATTAAAGTAGTACATTGCAATGGACTTTTCTTTTAAAAATTTAACCCCCCCAAATACATGCTATTGCTTTATTTTATTTTAGTTTTTTTTTAAACAGGAGTTAACGTATTATAGTATAAAGGAGAAACATCATGTATAATATCAGAACTTGAGAGAAAATTGTCAGAAAGTTAAAGCCAAGGATTCTATTTTCCCTAGTACCTACCAGAATGTTTTAGGCACAGTATTTGCCTGACACACAAATTCAGTAAATATTTGTTGCTATGACCCAAAATGGACTTCGGTTCATGGTGAAAAGTTGTCATTTTTCTGGAGAAGTTTCATTTCTAGTAAATGTACTCCCATATTCTGGCCTCAGTGTTCTTCTCTATAAAATGTGAATGATTTTCCTGGACTAGATGAACTGCCAGAACTAAAGAAAAAAAAACAACCCTTCAGAAATACAATATCTAAATATCAGTCAATATATTAGAATTACTTTTGTTTGTATGAATATCACAGGCAGATCTAAGTTGAACTCTGGATCTACCATACTTGAGTCTGTCAAATGTGAACCTTGGAGAGGTAATTATGGGCCTTGCTCAGCATCAGTTTTCTCATGTTTCACATGAAATATTCTTAACCAATTTTTAATAAAACCAACTTTTAATAAAAAAGAAATTATTATATGAGAAGTGATTCACCTAGGCCTTCGCATACAGATGGTGACCCATAAAAGGTGACTAATCATAATTATTTAAATACATATAATAAATTGAAAATAACACATATATTTTTGTATTTTTCTCCTTAATCTTTTTATCATTCTAAAAGTATGTTGTTTTATACTAAACAGACTAGAGTAGTTTTTAAGGACTGTTCTAACTTATTATATGAATTTCATTATATTTTATTCTTAATTGATATCCACAGAGCTGCATACACTTTGTACCAATACTATTAGCAGAAACTGATGATGTTATATAAAAAGAACCAACTTAATATTCAAAATGGAGATAGTTAAAAAAATAAATTTTCAGATTGCTCCGTCACTAACTAATGCCATTTTTCATTTTTAGCTACACACAGACCTGGATCCTGGGAGCAAAAAAATCAAGTATATCCTATCAGGTGATGGAGCTGGGACCATCTTTCAAATAAATGATGTAACTGGAGATATTCATGCTATAAAAAGACTTGACCGAGAGGAAAAGGCTGAGTATACCCTAACAGCTCAGGCAGTGGACTGGGAGACAAGCAAACCTCTGGAGCCTCCTTCTGAATTTATTATTAAAGTTCAAGACATCAACGACAACGCACCAGAGTTTCTTAATGGGCCCTATCATGCTACTGTGCCAGAAATGTCCGTTTTGGGTATGTATGCATCCAATTTCACAGAACTGTTAAAAGTCATCTTTAAAATAGCTCCTGGCATCCGGGATCGTGTGTTGCTGAATAAAAGACATTTATTACCACCTTATCTCTAATTTGCATTTCCAAATCCCCCTTTTTGGCCTAAGTTTCACAGCTCAGTAGCTTTAGTCCCTTAGTAATAGGAGCTGACAGAAGAGCAGTTTTATTAAAATATCTCTCCTTACACGACAATAATTCAATAGGCTGAATTTGTATTCCTCTCATAGACTTGTAGTTTGAGTATTGTTACTGAGGCGGATTTATCAAGATTTGTTCTAACATGCCAAGATAATCCTGTTGATATTTGCTTGGTGTTTAATTATTTGTTTGTGTATATTCACATGCAGATGCAGCACATAGAGAAACAGAAAATTGTCTAGGTGTGTCGTCAGCCAGATATTAGGTTGCTCTGGTGGGTCGTGTCTAGGGTGGATTAGGCAATCACCATTTCCAAGGGGCTCTGTATTTGTGTCCATATTAACAACATTTTTAGGAGCAACTGATAGTACCATTGACCCATTGTCAATTTTCTGAGCCATTTTAGAATCCATTACACTTTACAGAGCAATTGGTATTTGGAACATGATTTAATTCTTGTTTCTCATTCTTTGGATCTGCTTATCTATCCATAAATCCTGGCCTTGATGATAAGAAACTCCTCACCCCAGACTTTATATAGTAAAGGATTTTAGAGCTCTTCCTTGTATGTCAAATCAGTAGGCAGAATCTAAAATTCAAAGTATAAGATTACAAAAGCCATTTTTAATGTATAATATATATCCAAGTTTGTTTCAAATTGCATTTAAGATAGCCTTATGATGAGACAAATAAACACAGGTAGAGAGATAAATTGAAGGCCAGAAGTCAATAAATACAGACATGTATATTCATCATTTAAAGTACCCAATTTTAACCTTAAATAAACTAAGAGAAAAAATTAAAAAAAAAAAAACTGATAAAGAACCCAGTTCACAAGTTTTATAAAATTAAATTGCTCAAAAATATTAAAAATTCATAAAGATATGAACACCAGAAAGAAGTATACAGATATATAGTGTCTTCAGTAACATTTTCACTGTAGATACAAATAAAGGCAAAGTATTGATTATGGTTTTCAAAGCTAAATTGGGTGACCATTATCAGGTATAATACAGAATGTCCTTACCTCCCAAATGTGGTCCTGACATTTTAGTTTATTTTAGCAATCCAGTGAGATACTCATGTGTGTTCTTGTGTGTGTGTGTGTGTGTGTGTGTGTGTTTATAACACTCCTGATGGAAATTAGTTGGAATTTAAATTTCAAATAAAGAAAATTCTTTGTAGGATAAATGACTTAATTTGCAAGTAAGTTATTCTCAGACGTTTCTGAGAAAGAGAATATCCTAGTTTTTCTCCTTGACTTGATCTATTTCTTTTATGTTTGACTGACTTTCTCTTATTTTTGCACTTACTCTTTAAGGTTATTTTGCTCCTGACGCTTCTTTTTTCTTCCTCAAACTACCTTTTTCTATGCCTCTTTCTCTTTCTCACCCTTCTCCACTAGTTCTCCTCCCTCATCTCCACCTCCTCCTGTTTCTTCTTCTCTTTTTTCCCTTGCCATCTCCTTCCCTCTGTTGTCTTTTGTGGTCACCCCTGTATCTTCAGCCATTTGTTTAATGTGGCTGGCTGTAAAATTATATGCCTTGCTCTATAGGTCTGCTTAAGCTATTAATCCATGTTGCCAGTTGCTTTATGAACATTTTCATCTGGATATCTCAAAGACAGCTTAAATTTCATATTAAAGGCCAAACTAGGTACATGGATGATGCTAGAAACCATCATTCTCAGCAAACTAACACAGGAACAGAAAACCAAACACTGATGTTCTCATTCATAAGTGGGAGTTCAACAATGAAAACACATGAGCACAAGAGGGGGAACATCACACATCAGGGCCTGTCGGGGAGTTAGGGACTAGGGAGGGATAGCATTAGGATAAATATCTAATGTAGATGACGGGTTCATGAATGCAGCAAACCACCATGGCATGTGTATACCTATGTAACAAGCCTGCATGTTCTGCACACATATCCCAGAACTTAAAATGTAATAAAAACATAGAAAAAAATGACTAGAAGGAATATCCCAAAATGGCATAGCAATCACTTTTGGGTAGGAAGAAAAATAAACTAATTACTTTAATGAATTATTTTTTTCTGTTTTCTGACTTCTATGACTTTATCAATGATCCCAATGCCCTCTCAAATCCCATGTACAACGTGCAAGCCATATTGTTGAATCTCTTCTTACTCATTAAGCCTCAGCTGTAGCCTGATCATTTAATCCCTAATTCCAGTCACTGCCGACTGCTATGTAATCTTAATGCATCATCTGATTTCTTTCTTTCAACCACTCTCCTAAATCATATCTTAATGACTCTCACTGGGTTATTGATGATCTCAGTAATTTTCCAAATAACGTGCTAGATTTTAACCATGTTATTTCTTAGCTGATACATATACTCATCCCAGAGGAAAAATTATCCCTTACATTTTATAGGTGTTCAGCTACTTACCCAGGGGGATCCTTTCATGGTCTGGCTTCATTTGATTCTTTTCTTACCCACCTACAATATAACTTTGGTAGATACACCCATTTTGGCAACAAATCAGAAGTGATTTCAGGTCTTCTTTTGTTACCCATATATTTCTTCTGCCAGGACTCCACTTTATCTACCTCTTGTACAAGGAACTCTATTTTTAATTTTTTTCCTTCTTATCAAAATTGCTTCTTTATGGCTGGTTGCAATGACACTTTTTCTAGAAAGACTTCTGTGCCCTTCTCTCAGAATGTTACCTTTCTACCATCAGTACCACCACCGTGAAATAAAAAGACACACATTCACACACATAAAGAAGCAAAAACACTTATGTATTTCACTTTGTTTGGCATCTGACTGACAGGAACTGAGAAACACTATATATATATATTTTCTCTTTTTTTCATATTGTTTGGTCATTTCATTTAGGCCACAGAACTTTCTAATTCATCCTTTCATCTAGATTAGAGTAAAATGGATTTAAAGAATGATTGCTGCCCACAAAACATACAGCATACTTTATCTCAGTTTTTAGTAAACATTGAACAGAGATGTTATTTTTGCCTCATTATAATATCTACATCTTCATGCCACATCTATATCTATTGATTGTGTGTCAGAGGCTCTCATTTCTGTGTATGTAAGTCATATGTCTGATAAGTATGTTGAGAAAGAAAGCTGCAGAAATATCTGCAAACATCAAATCCTTTTTCAGATAAGAAAAGGATTTAAAAAATATTATTAGCAACCAGGAGCTGTGGCTCACGCCTGTAATCCCAGCACTTTGGGAAGCCAAGATGGGTGGATCACGAGGTCAGGTGTTCAAAGCCAGCCTGACCAACATAGTGAAACCCATATCTACTAAAAATAATGATAATAAAAATAGCCAGGCTTGGTGGCGGGCACCTGTAATCCCAGCTACTTGGGAGGCTGAGGCAGGAGAATTGCTTGAACCCAGGAGGCAGAGGTTGCAGTGAGCTGAGATTGCGTCACTGCACTCCAGCCTGGGTGACAGAGCAAGACTTAGTCTCAAAAAAATTAATTAAATAAATAAAATTAACTACATAATGAAGTGTCTATGTGCACCTCTAAATAAATACATACACATATATATTTCTTCATCTAAAATGTTTTTGCTAATAGACATTTAAATAATTCACACTAACATATGTATATGTTGTATGTAGAATTCATACAGTTATGTATGTTGTATATGTTAAGTATATAGGCATATGTGTCTTTAGCCTGAAACATGTCTTCCAAAAACCACAGGGGATGTGTTGAAGTTTCCAGTGTGAGTTTGTATCTTCATTGTATCTCTTATCATCAGGTTGACTTTGAAGTTTGGGGTGGTTAAAATATTGCCATTTTTCTTAGCTACAAAGCAAAGATAATTTTTATGTTGCTTTCATTGTGTGGGAATTGCATGACAAAGCACAATGTAAAAGTATGTCAAAAATTAAAGAAGTGTTCCACAGTTGGTTGTTGTTTACGGCTTTAAAATTATTTTTATTAATCTGTTTCTCATCTTACCTTTGGACCTGTCCTTATGTATTGATTTTATGCATTGGATGTCTGGTTTCTGTTTGACTGTAGCCTCTCTGGTTAAAGGAAGCAGAAGCAGCTGCAGTATTTGATTGTGAAGTGTGAATTATTCCCTTCATTTCTCATGAAGGTGAATATCTGGAAGAAGGTCAGCTACCATATCTTTTATTCTCCCTCTTACCACTGTTCTTTCCTAGCCTGTCTCTTCCCTCCCCTCCTTTCTGATTTCATTTTTCATCCTTTGCTATGGCAGAAATGCCAGCACGTGCACCTGTATGCCCTGAGGAATTCCAGCAAAGGCTGAGGGATTTCACTGTGCAGAAAGTGAAGAATACAATTCTAATTGAGAAATTTACCAATATTAAATTGAAATGAATGTGATGTTCAAGAACTGTCTTCCAGTTGACAGGCTGTCAAGACAAAACACACATATATATTTGCCCAAATGGCAGCCAAATTATTTTAGAAATATCTTATTTCGAAGCTAGAGACACAGTTCTTTTTTATTCGGCTGTGAATTTCATAACTTGATGAGAATTCACTTTTGCAGCAATACTGCATAAATAGAGGCATGCGAGCTTGTCTGATTTTAACTGTGGATCCCAAACTAGTTTTTGAAGTTGGTTTTTCAATGCAAATGTCCCCACTTTTAGTAAGTTTTAGATATTTTTTAAATAGACTTTTTAATTGTTTTTGTGTATTGAGGTCAACTGTATTTTAATCCAGATTGTTCCTTAAACCTGGGCTTCAGTCAAATGAGCTTTTTATTTGACTTTGACTTAGATTTGCAGGTTATTTGGCTCCAAATCTGACTTCTTGTATGAATTGCATAAACCAT